CTATCAGGGTCCCGGGGGCGGTCTCGCTGTTGAGGCGGAAGATGCCGCCGGAATTGCGCCCCCTCGCTCCTGCCGGCGCCCTGGGAGCAGAGTCTTGGCGGACGCCGAATATGCGCCCGAAATGGCGCACTTTCCTGGCGACAGCATCGCAACGACAGTTCGGAATGCTGCGGGCGGCACTGCATAAATCAGAGACATTCCGCGCGCTACAGACAGCCAAGAGGTCGTAAATCTAAGCGCGGCCGTCAGTTGTTTCAGTTCTCGCGTCGTGGGATTGCGCGAGAGTGTGAGTGACAGCGGCCCTGGGCGCTCACGATTGAAAGTTTCGCTTGACTCCTGGGGGTGCGTGCGGGCCACAGACGGGCGCGTGTTTGCGATCGGCGCCGACCCCCCAGCCAGCGCCTCCGAGGCCATCCCCGTGGCCGACGGCCGATGCGGAGCCCATTGCTTGCAAAGCCTGGGGCTGTCGATGCATCTGGTTGGCGGCGAGACCCAACAACGCCCCGCTGCGACTCCGCCCGCCGCCGCCCCTGGTACTCTCGAAGGTCCTCGCTGGGGAACCGCGAACATGCCTTGCAGAGGCAGGACGTCGAGGCCATCCGCCAGCTTGTCGAGAGAAGTCCCTTCGCGCCCATTCGCCCTCGTTCCCCTGTCAGCGAATCCGCCCGAACGGACAGCGAACCGCAGCCACTCCCTCCCGAAGGCCGGACCGCGCTGAGGAAGGAGACTCCCGTCCTGGCAAAAGAAACGGTGTCTGACAACGTGCCTGGGCCAGGTGCGACCCGCAGCACTCCCACGCATGGCGAAAGTCACGCTGCGACAGGCGGGGGCGCGCTCGTGGACGAGGACGGGCGCGGGTCGGAAGGCGAGCGCCAACGGGAGGGGCCTGCCCCCGCTTACCGCAGTGCAGCTCTCCTCTCCGCCCCAGCTGCTGGAGGCGACTCGGTCTTTACCTGGCGGCCAACCGTGCGGCCCGCGCCAACCCGCAAGTCCCCGCCAGGCTTCCGTGCCCCGGTAGCCGCCGCGCCTCGCGAAGCCATAGACGGTTCCGACGGCGGGCCCCGCCAGTCGGAACAGGCGCATAGCAGCGGACGTGAGCAGCATGCGGAGCATGAGCCGGAAGAGCCCGATGAGCAGGAGCTGCCGGCCGCCCGCGGGGAGGGCGCGGAGGTGGCGCCAGCGCAGGAATGGGGGCACGGGCAAGAACAGGAACAGGCAACCACCCACCGCCGCACTCCCCTGGCTGACACTACTTGCCTTGGCCCCTCCCTCCCTGGCAATGGCGCGAGCTCGAGCGCCGAGGAACAGCGGCAGCGCGGCCGGAACGCTCCCCCAGCGCGTCTTCGCGGCAGCGGGTGGACGCCCTGCCTAGCCTCTGTGACTGGCGATCTTCCAGTCTCCCCGCCGCCCCTGGGCCGAAACCTGGCTCGTAGCGGCGCCGACCGCCCTGGCGGGTCTGGTGGGCGGCAGACGGCAGGCGGTGGACGCAGCAGCAGCAGCAGCAGCAGCCGCAGAAGCAGCAGCAGGCGCCGCGCCGAGGACCAGCCGCTGACCACCCCGCCCCTGGTAGCGGGTCCCGCCGCGCGTCGCTGTCCAGAACCTTTAGACCCAGACACGGGACAGCAGCTATATTCAGCTAAGATCGGCGGCATCCAGTGGGGCCCCCCCCGGGGAGACACCTGGTGAGACGATAAAGCGGCTTCAGGTCACCCTGGGAGCGCGCGTTCGCCCAGCAGCGCGCCATGCCTGGCAGCAAAGGCGCGCTCGACCCGCGGCGGCACGACCGCCAAACGTGCGTCAATTTCCTGTCCGCCTTCCGCAGCCATAACTGCGACGTGCGGGCCATGGGCGACTCGCTGGACCTCGGCGTTGACTGGGCGCAGTTGCGGCTCCGGTACCTGGGTGGAAGTGAAGGCGCGGGCAGGGGGCGCCTGGCGGCGAAGGGCCGCGCTGGTCGCCGCGCACCCGGGAAGGACCAGAAACAGTGGAAGGTCGTCACCTAAAGCCGCGGGCGCCCCGCCTTTGTTTCACCGTATTTCACTCTGGCTTCTCCTGGGTGTGGCCGTGACCCGGCCTTCCAGCGGGCAGCCGTAAAGGTCCCTGGGCTTCTCTAAAATCCACACTCTGTGCAGCCTTCAGCTGCCTCCCTGGGTTACGTTTCATATACTCGTGTGGCGGCCTTCTGCCGCCCTCCCTGGTACACGCACTTCCTGCCTTTGGACCCAAGTGTGTTTACCAGCAATACCGTCTGCATGACAGCGCTGGGGCGTGTTGCGTGCAGGCCATAGTTGGCCCCTGGCCCCGCTGTAGTTGTTTTCGCCTCTGGCCCTGTCGGACTTCGTCCCCCGGCCTCGCGGCTCTGTGACCGACGCAAAGATGGCTTCGCCTCGTCACTGTCCAGAACTGCACCCTAATTCACTCTGGCTTCTCCTGGTGGCCGTGGCCCGGCCTTCCAGCGGGCAGCCTTATGCAGCTTAGGCTCTGTGCGGTCGCGACAGGGTCGGGTGTGGTCTATCCTGCTTGGCTCCTGGCGTTGCCAACAGGTCCACAGGCGTCTCAGGTGGCACGCTTCGGATGACTGTTGGTCGTGCGTCGCATCCGCTGGCGCCGCCTTCATTTTCCCGGTGTCTCTCGCCATTGGCTGCGCTCGAGCACCCTGGGTACATCTTTGGCATTGAGTGTGGTTCATCCTGCTCGGTTGCATTGCTATGTATTCACAGGTCTTGCTATGCTATGCCTGTACCACGGTGCACAGGATTGCTCATGGGACGCAGGTTTACCTACCTTTGAGCGGTCTTTACTTGATCTGTCGGTGTGCGACGCTTCGGCTGGCGCCTCTTCAGATTCGCGCCATTCTGACAGCGCGTGTCAGTTTTGGCAAGTTCGGTGCTTCCTGGGTGTCCCTGGGCCACCTTGCAGCTCTGCCCTGGGTGCCGCTCTCCCTGGGGTCAGCCTCGCCCTCGCCGCAGTCGCTGCTTGCTGCATCCGGCGCCGCCGCGCCCGCCTAGTCGCGCGCGTTAGCCGTCGGTAATTCGTTTTGCCTCCAGCCCTTCGGCCAATTTGTAGCGGCCGCAGCCCGACCGTTACCCGCCGCCGCTGGCGCATCCGCCTGCGGATGGAGAAAAAGTAACCCCACCAGCCCATCCAGAAACGATGGCAGGATATGTGGAGCTTCCAGTCGAAGAGAGGACTGGGGAAGCCGCCGTGCCCCAAGAGGGGGAGGATGGAGGATGAGGATGAGGATGAGGATGAGGCGGAGGAGGAGGCGGAGGAGGAGGAGGAGGAGGAGCAAGGGGAGGAGGAGGAAGAGGATGAGGAGGAGGAGGAGGAGGAGGGGGAGGGGGAGGGGACGGCGGGGGAGAAGGTTGGAGGAGGATTAGTCGGATGCTGCTGCTGCCGATGATGATAATGACGATGATGATGCTGATGATGGTGATGATGATGATGCTGATGATGATGGTGATGGTGATGGTGATGGTGATGATGATGCGGATGCTGATGTTGATGCTGATGCTGATGATGATGATGATGCTGATGATGATGATGCTGATGCTGATGATGATGCTGCTGATGATGATGATGATGCTGATGCTGATGCTGCTGCTGCTGATGATGATGATGATGATCATGATGATGATGCTGCTACTGATGATTCTGCTTCTGATGCTGATGCTGCTGCTGCTGCTGCTGCTGATGATGAGGATGCTGATGAGGAGGATGCTGATGAGGAGGAGCAGGAGGAGGAGGAGGCGGAGGAGGAGGAGGAGGAGGAGGAGGATATGGAGGGCGAGCAGAAAGGCCAGGGGCCTCTTGGGATGTCAATCGGAGTGTCCTCAGATGTCTCTGGAGAGTTTCTCTATTGGGGCGTCTTCGAGGCCTCGCGGGGGTTCCCAGTGGCCTCGTGGAGCATCTTGGGTGCCTCGGGGGAGCCTCTTGGGCCTCTTGGGGCTCTGTTGGGAGCCTCTTGGGGACCTCCTGGGGCCTCTTGGCGCCTCCTGTGCCCCCCTCGGGGCCCTCTTGGGGACCATCTTGGGAGCCATCTTGGACGAGACCGATCAAAGAATGAGGGGGACCACTTTAGGTCCCCCACCCCAACATAACCTATTGTAAAAGTAATGATTTTGCCTTCTCGCCGAGGCCTTCTTGGACGCTCTAACCGGTCGCGACCCTCTCCCGGTCCAGGTCCAGGGGGAGGGGGTTAGGGTTAGGGGTAATTTTCTTCCCGAATGGGGAGAGAAGAAGGGGACTGAAGAAGGACACCCGCTAAATTATTTAGCCCCAAAAGGGCAGGTGGAATTGTATGTTTGCGGCTAATTGCTGCTGTTGCAGGTTCTGTTATTGTTGCTTGCTTCTTCTGTTGGTGACGCTCATGGGGGCCACGATTATGATGTTGCCAGGGGAACAATTTTGCTTGAGACCCTTCTTGCCATCTGCACGATGCGTCTGTCCTTCAAGAGCAGCTTTTCGAGATCACGTGTCGCCCGTGACAGGCAAAGTTACTTTCTGATCGTTTTTAGCCTGCTTATCCTCAGGGTTCGCGGCGTAACTTTCTGCGCGACGATGCGACTGAAGCAGCAGACCTGTACGTGCTTACCCTGTGCTCAATATGGATCCTTCAAATTTTGTTTTTCCCGCTCTCTTTAAAAACCTTGCTGGCCTGACCTGTTCGGGCGCTCCACCTTCCAGCTGGCCGCGAGTGGGCCTCGCAATGCTGGCGGCCCACGCTCGAAGTGCCCTGTAATGCCAATCCCGGGTAGGCCTCCGGATGTCGAGAGTCTATCGCGAGTTTCGTTCGCCTCCTGTTTCGGGGAGGGAGCAGCGCGCGTGGTGGGACGGAGCGAGGCAAGGCGGTTAGCAGAGGGGTTGGTGTTCTACGCCGCTTTCCCCACGTGGTAAAACATATGTGGCGGGCATTGCACAGGGACGTCCGAGACGAACCAGAGCAGGAAGAGCATGAGGAGGGAAGCCGCTTGATTGCGCTTGCGTGGCGGGCGTTGCAGGACTCGTCCGAGCAGCACCGGTGGGTCCCGAGGATTGTTGTGCCTCGGAAGTGCCTCGGACTTGCGGAAGGCGGGGGGACTATTTTTACCGTGCCTTGTCGGCCATCCTCCCTCGCCGCTTGCAGTGCTTTCTCTCTTTCTATGCCTCTTTCTTTTTTTTTGTTCTCTCTCTCTCTCTCTTTCTCCCCTCTCTCTCTCTGCCTCTCTCCTCTCTCTCTGCCTCTCTCTCTCTCTCCCCTCTCTCTCTGCCTCTCCTCTGTTCGAGAGGCTTCGGCCGTCACGCCGACCCCCAGAAAGCGCGGGCGTCTGGGATGGGCAAAGAGGAGGAGGAGGAGGAGGAGGAGGAGGAGGAGGAGGAGGAGGAGGAGGAGGAGCAGGAGGAGGAGGAGGAGGAGGAGGAGGAGGATGGAGGAGGAGGAGGAGGATGGAGGAGGAGGAGGAGGAGGCGGAGGAGGAGGAGCGCAGCGACCAGCTGAATCAGGTGCGACCTGAAGGGAAGGGCATCTGTATCCAGGCCTCCCAGATGGGGTCAGAGTGGATGGGGTGGAGAATCGCCCCGCACCGCCGATGCATCGGCGATGCGGCTCGATGTGGAGCGCGATGCTCTCCACGCCGACGTGGCCGATGCATTGCCGACGTCGCCAGTGCATCGCCGGCGATGCATCGGCGATGCGGCGCGAACCCCGACCCCGTTTGCTCGGACCCCATCTGGGAGGCCTGCTGTGTAGCAGCCGAGGGTCCGAGAGCGACTGCCACCTCGAGGTCGGGCCAGGCTGCTCTTCTGGGAGGGGTGGTCTGCGGGATCCTGGACAGTTCTCCGACGGGCCTGTTCCGCCCGATGTCCCGAGCTCCAGCAGCTTCTCCCAGGAAGTGCCATCGGGACCCACACCCCTCTGGAGGTCTGGCAGATGCCCCTCCCGCGTGGGGTTCCCAGGGGGCAGGGCAGGAGCAGCCAAAGAGGCCGCCGTGGGCCCAGAAGGGCCACAGCAGACGGGCCACCTGCTTCTCGAGGCCCTGGCTCCCGGCGGCGAACGGGGGGGCCCTCGTCTCCTTGAGAGGCCAGGTCGGCCTCCTCAGAAGCTGAGACCTGGCCGTGCCGCGGGGCCGAGTCGCAAGGACGGAGACCGTTTCTTTCTTGCTTGGGGCATGACGGGCGTCATGGCCCCTGGACCCCCCCCCTATGACGTAACGCTCCCCCCCCTCCCAGTGCGCTCCGGGCACTGCCGCCGTGCGTATTGGGATCCGCGTAGGTGTCCGCGCAGGAATCCGCATAGGAGTCTGGTCCGCAGTCGTCGTCGTCGTCGTCGTCGTCGTCGTCGTCGTCGTCGTCGTCGTCGTCGTCGTCGTCGTCGTCGTCGTGGCTCGTGGCTCGCGGCTCGTGGCTCGTCGTTCGTCGCTCGTCGCTCGTCGCTCATCGTCGTCGTGCGCGCGGACGCGGCTGGAGCCTGTTTTTTTTATTCCGGGCCGATGACGGCAATCATCTGGGGGGGGTGGGGGGGGGTCGATGACGTCACGTTCCGCGGCGGCGGCACTTTAGAATGCATAGGAATGACGGAGGACGGGTCTCATGGGGCCGTCTTGGAGCCCTTGGCCCTCTTGGACCGTTTTCGGGCACTTTCGGGGGCCTCTTTGGCCGTCTTGGGGCGATCTTTGAGCCTCTTGGGTCGTTTTGGACCGTTCTTGGCCCGAAAAGGCAAGAACCACAAAAACTTCGAAAACCATAGAACAATCTAGGTTTTCTGCACCTGGGGGCCCTCTCAGGAACCCTCTGGAAGGCCTCTGGAGCCATCTTGAGGCTCTCTTGGGCCGTCTCGAGGCCATCTGAGGCTCTCTTGGGGCCGTCTTGGTGCCCTCTTGGGCCGTTTAGGGGCCTTCTTGGGCCGTCTTGTGGCCCTTGGGCCGCGTTATTTGAAAACATACAAAAATACAAGGAAATGGGCCATGGGAGCCGCCTGGGAGGGAAACGGCTTCCCGGCGGCCATTAGATCCAATGTCTTCGGGCTTGCTCCCTCCCCCGGAACCCTCCCTAAAAGAGCTTCGCCCCCTACAAAACGTCTCTCGCTCGTACCTCGTTCTTTCCGTCACCTGGGTCGGCACAGGAACGGAAAGAGCGCCTCAGAAACTGGCCCGAGATGGCGCATGGCACCCTTCGCTCTTGGGAGTCTTGGTGTGAAAAGCTTGTTACGTCGCTGCTCTCCGTTAGGAGCCCTGGTGTTCAGAGATTTGTATGTTGCCGCTCGCTCTTGGGAGCCTTGGTGTGACGAGCTTTGTACGTCACCGCGCTCTAGGGAGCCTTGGTGTCAAGAGCTTGTTACGTCACCGCTCGCTGATGGGAGCCATGGTGTTCTTGAGCGTCTCTTGGGCCTCGTCGGGTTCTTCTCGGGGCCCTTTGGGAGCCCTCCGGGAGCTCTTTGGGCGCAATTTTGGGCCGTCTTGGATTGGGCAGTCTAGGGGCGTCTTGGAGGCCTTTGGCCGTCTTGGGGCTCTCTTGGGGGCCTCTTGGGGCCCTCTTGGGAGCCTTTGGGCCCTCTTGGGGCTCTCATGGGGCCGTCTTGGTGCTCTCGTGGGGCCCTCTTGGGGCCCTCTGGAGCTGTTTGGGGGCCCTCTTGGGCCGTTTGAGGGCCCTCTTGAACCGTTTTCCGAGTCTTTGTGGGACCTCTGGGGCCGTCTTGGGACGAGCTTTGGAACCTCATGGGCCGTGTTGGGCCCGTCTGGGCCCGGAAAGGCGAGAACCCAAAAACACCAGGGGAATCAATGTTTTTGGGCTCCTGATGCCCTCTCGAGGGGTCTCTGGAGGGTCTGGAGCCGTCTCGAGGCTCTCTTCGACCGTCTGCAGGCCAGCCGAAGCTTTCTTGGGGCCGTCTTTGGCTCGTTTTGGGCCCTCTTGGGCCGTGTTGGGGCCTTGGAGCCGCTTCATATAGGAGGAAACGGGCCGTTGACGGCGCCCGCGAGCCGTTTCACTCGACACAATACGAGGGAAACGGCCCCCTGGCGGCCACTAGCGCCGGGGCGCTCCCCCCTCACCCCTCCCCTGGACCCCTCCCTAGAGGGCTTCGCCCCACCAGGACGTCATCACTCGTACCTCGTTCTTCCCGTTAACTGGGCTGGCACGATAACGGAAAGAACGCTGCAGGAATTTGCCCGAGATGGCTCATGGCACCCTTCGCTCTTGCGAGCATTGGCGTTAAGAGCTTGTTGCGTCACCGCTCTTTGTTGGGAGCCCTGGTGTTCACAGACTTTTACGTTGCCGCTCGCTCTTGAGCGCCTTACTGTTGAGAGCTTCTTGCGTCACCGCGCTCTGGGGAGCCTTGAAGGTTCTCAGAGCTTGCTCAGTCACCGCTGCTCGCTGTTGGGAGCCACGGTGCTACTCGGTGTCTCTGGGGCTTCCCGAGAGTCTCTCGGGGGTCCTTTTTGGACCGTTTTGGCCCTCTTGGGGCCAGCCTGGCCCCTCTTGGGCCGTCTTGGGGCCAGCCTGGTCCCCGCACCAGCAAGGGGTCTGCGCAGTGCTGCAGGGGGCCCCGGGCTGGCAGTCCGCCGGTCGAGGCCCCGAGCCCACATCTGGAAGCGGGGCGTCCAAGAAGGTCGGCCGCCGAATCCAGATTTCGTAACAAAAGGGAGGGGGTCTGGACCCTCCAAGACAAGCCATTTCAGACCTCCCCCGTGGGAAAACCCTCCAAAACATCGTCCCCAGACCCCCCAGGCCCTCCAAGATAGCCTGGAGGAGACCCCCCCCCGAAATGAGACCCCTCTCCCTTTGTTACGAAATCTGGGGTAGTCAGAGTGGCGTTCAAGAGGATCCCAGCCCGCGCTGGCATGGAGGATTGCATATAAGGCAGGGCAGCGGTCTTCGAGCGAGAGGGCAACGCAGCCGCTGAGGCGTTGGCCAAGCAGGGAGCCAGTCTTGGCAGGCGAAGCCCAGAGGTTGCGATGATGGCTGGAGGCGTGCTTGTGCTGTCCAGATGTCTGCTCAGATTCGTTTCCACGACCGAGGCCCGCTGCGCTGATCTAGGAAGTTTTGCCCACGCGGGCGCCCAGGGGCTCGCACTGGTGTCGCTGGAGGGAGGAGAGGAGCTCGAGGAGGTTCTGGACGAGGTGCGGAGGCGGGCGGGCGGATGTGTTCCCCCCCCCCTCCCTCCTAGCCCCTCCATTCCCCCGGGCCAGGTTGCCGAGCCCCTCCCTCCCGAGCTGGCCACCAGGGGGCATAGATGCGGACCATAGACCCAGGCATGCTGCTGGCCACTCTCTCCTTGAGCTTGAGGTGGCGGAGGGAGCCCACCCTCCGATCTTTCTCTGCTCCACCTGCGGTAGTTCTGCCATGGTCGGTCATGGGGTTTGGGGGTTCCGGAAGGCGCGCAAGGGGCTCCCAGCATGCCCTCGTGGGCCCTGGCAGGAAGAGCACCAGAGCTGTGATCAAGGGGGAGCACCCCCGCAGACTTCTCGAGCGGGGCCCCTGGAGGACTCCTGCGGGCGACGCTCGGGAGCTTCTTGGGGGGGTCGAGAAGGCCCCAGGGGTCCAGCGAAGAGGATTTTTGTTCAGAGCCTGTCGAGGGCCGAGTTCCGTTCACTGGCTTGGCCGACTGCCTCCAGGCCTTGGGCTTCATGCGCCCGAAGCCATGGCCCTTGGAGAATGTCGGGGCCGCGACTGTGCAGAGAAGCGTGGTGCCGAGTCCGGTGGTTGATTGGCCCAGCGAAAAGGGGGCCCCATGTCGCTGGCATCTGGCAGGCGCGGCGGCCTGCCAGGGAGACAGGAAGGTCTCCTCCGAAGGGCCCCCCTCCTGGGCGTTTTTCGGACTGACCCCCTCTCTATTTCCCGTCAGTGGCGTGCGATCCTCCTCCTCCTCCTCCTCCTCCTCCTCCTCCTCCTCCTTCCCCTCCTCCTCCTCCTCTTCCTCCTCCCCCCCCCAGCGCGGGTCGTTTCCTTGCTGTCGTTGGCGCCCCGCGGCCCCGCCTCTGCCAGAAGAGAAGATCCTCGGGGCCTGGGTCGAGGCGCTTCCGCGCGCGCGCGCGCCGCCCTCTCGCTCGATCCGTGGGGGCTCGCCCGCGCGTTTTCGCGGGCTGCGCTCTTCTACAATTGTGGCCCGCTCACGAGCTGGACCCCCCCCCCGAGTCTCTTCCTCCTCCTCCTCCCCAGGGAGGGGTAGGTAAAAGGAGGAGGGGGGAGGAGGAAGAGGAGGAGGAGGAGGAGGAGGGAGGAGGAGCAGGCGGAGGAGGAGGAGGAGGAGGAGGAGGAGGAGGAGGAGGAGGAGGAGGAGGAGGAGAAAGAGGAGGGGGAGGGGGGAAACGAGGAGGCGGAGAAGGAGGAGGAGGAGGAGGAGGAGGAGGGAGGAGGAGGAGGAGGAGGAGCAGGAGGAGGAGGAGGAGGAGGAGGAGGAACTCCACTAAGGTTACAACCTATTTTGGTTTTGATCACCAGAAAGAGTCCCGAGCACCAAGAAAGTGCCGAAACTGGGGGCTGTCACGTGTCGGGCCCCGGGAGGTGATAGTCGCTCGACACCGTTTCGTTTTTTTCTGGGTGCCCGAAATTATTTCTGGGATGTGGTCCGTAAGTGCGATGGTAACAACAACGCTGAGGGCCTTTTACAGAGGAAGTAAAGGCACCGATGCCGCAACCCTTGCTTCGTTTTCGCCTTCTCGGGCCTCCTGTGAGGCCCTCGTCGACACCGTCGGACTCGCCTCGAAATCCTGGTCGGAACGCACCCTAGCAGAAGTCTGGAGAGTGGCGGTATCGGTACCTTTTGGTATCAATTTCCCGTACCCGTTGCTGGTGGCATACAGTGGAGACTTCTGCCAAGAAGCACCCTGCGTGCCCCCAGTGTGCCTTTGGTTTTTTCGGGTTTCGATGGATATTCAGTGGAGTACGTGACGTTCCCACGCCAAAACTCCACGTCCGTCCTGGGGTTCCGGGGCCGGGTTTGCGGAGGCAGGCTTTCTGGTGGTCGAGCCCCCGCTGCACAGCGAAGACGCTGGAGCAAGGGTCGGTCTGGGCTTGTCACCACCCACCAAACCACCCCAACCCAACCCGAAGGCTCAAAATTGCCCTCCATTTCCAGTGGGGGGGGTCGGGGAGTGTTGAGAAAACGCATATGAAACCCTTACCCCCCCCACCCCGAAATTCGGGTCTTCGGGTTGGGTTGGGGTGGTCTGGTAGTCAGCTTGGGCTCTCGGGCCGTTCCCCCGACGCGCGCCGTGGCGCCGCGGGGCCTGCCGAAGAAGGGCCCTGGACCCGCCGTGGCCCTGCAGCAAAAGCACCCTTCTCGCGCTCTCTCTGGCGTGCGCCTTCCCCCTTGGTGGCGCGGCGGCCGCGGCCCGGGCCCAGCAGCCTCCGCTCCGGAGGGGGGGGGTGGGGTAAAACGACGCGAAGATCGGGACAAAATCGGATCGGGATAACTCGAAATTTCTGAGAATCGGCGGGTTTGGAGGATGTATTTGGCGCCGCGGCCGCTCCAGAGCGTTCCGGAACGCTCTGAGAGCGCTCCGGAACGCTCTGGAGCGATTTATCCTGATCCTAGCCCTGTTTTATGGGGGCTGGCCACGGAGGCGGGGCTGGCTGCGACGTGCTCGGGGTCGCGAGGGTGGTCTCGCTCCGCGCGCGTCGATGCGCACGGCTGCATAGGGCCAGATGGCCGCCCTTCCTGCAGGGCGGGCGTGGCCTCGCGAGGGCGCGAAGAGGGCCGCGCGTCGCACGTCGCAGGGGGCGGAGGCGCGGAGCCAGGTGACCCAGGAGGGGAGCCTCCTTCACATGGGGAGTGTGCATCGTGGGGTGCTCAGATGGCTGCTGCCCTGGAATTACTGTGACGTCGGGCGTGTCCCTCCACAGGAGGAGTCTTCAGAAACAGTCAAACCACAGTCAGGGGACAATTTCTTTAACTATGCTTTAATGTATTGCTTGGGCATTGTTTGGCCGTTTTCTATTTTTCGTCCAACATTCGCCCGTACGGAGACGTGCCCGAACTGGCAGCACTGGCTGCGCGCCTCCCCCCCCCGGCTTGGGGGGGCTTCGGCGACGGGAGGCCGTCCCGTGGCGCTGTGCGGCCGTGGCGCCCGACGCCAGCCTGCGGGCCCGCCAGCTGGAGGATGGGGAGAAGACCCACAGGCAGGGAATCGTCGACTCCCAGGAGAATGCGGGAAAATCCCGGAAGTGGAGGGGAAGACGAAAGCCTGGGAAATATAGGAACATATAGGGGAATCCTGGGATTTGTGTTTCTTCATTTGTGCGCTCTTCTTCTTCTTCTTCTTCTTCTTCTAGGATACCTCATCCATTCGCACAGTCAACGCTGAGAACAAGGAGAGCAGGCAGGGACGCAGGACGCCTGGGCATCCGTGCTCAAACCAGTGCCGTGGCGTGTCATGCCAGCCGAGGGACCAGGCCCACGGGCGGCCGAAGCGTGCCCAGAGGGCGAGGAGGCTGTCCGGGTTGATCCCTCGGCCGCGTTGCGGCTTGCAGGAGTTTCGCCATGCTGTATGGGGGGCCCGGGGGTCGGGGCGAAGACACTGCAGTGCCACGGCCCCACCACCTGGCATCGCTCGGACGTGTTTTTGTCTTTCTCGGCGAGGACCCTTGAGGAACATCCTGGATCATCGAGCAAAAAAAAAAGCACGCACGACACCGAACAATGCACGGGAAATGGACGTCCGAGCGACGGCAAGACCAGGACCTCCCTGCTCATGGGTCGGGGGCACGAGCACTAATTACAGGGAGGAGCTGTCTGTGGCATTCCTGGTGACAGTGCTGGACACAAACCAGGGGCGGGCCGAACAGACAGGGATACAAGAGTAGCTTCGCTGCCCCACACCTCGGACGTCCTGATGCTTCACGAGGCGGGCCTCTGAAGCTCTCGATCCCTTCCCCAGGACTACAGTTACCGCCGCGTTCATGTTATGGTCCCAGGACCATCGCCTTACGATTCTTGTTCGTGGAGGCAATCGAATTATTATGGTAGTTCGAACGGGGAGAAGCTGCTTGCGACATTCTCCACGCCCATCGGGCAGCCAGCCGTTCGTCGATCGGCCGGACCAGCATGGCCCGCGGTTTTTTTGCTTGCCCTTCGTATTGATTCGCGTCAAGGAACAATTAATGACCTGAGGGCTGGAAAAGGGCCTTCTCCAAACGCCCGCCGTCTTCCTTCTTCTGGAGTATGTTGCGGCTGTCCTGACCCCGTCTGTTTGTGTCCCGCCAGCTTCTCTGCCGCGCCCGGCTCTATTCTACCTCCCTGCGCCATTGCGGACGGGTCTCCCAGGGCGAGCAGGTGGTACCATGTGCCGCGATGATCATGGTTCCCGTTTTGGCCACCGCCCCCTCTGTCGGGCGAGAAACTTGCAGCCTGCGATTGTCCTTCATCAGTCCACGGTCTCGCAGCCCGCGAACGCGCTTGCAGCCCCGCGGTCTCTTACACCCTTGTGCGAGGTCTGTGCCTCCGGCCCTGCGGCCACAGCCTCCCTCGCTTTTCCAAGCTCGAGGGCGGACATCTTTTTAGTATTTTTTGCATGTGTCACGTTTTTGGCTTCTGGAGGCCTCTGGTGTCGTTCGGAGTCCCTGGAGGCTTCTTCCAGCGACCTCCGCCGCGGCGCCCGATACTCAGCCACGCGCAGAGGGGGTGAGGGGAGGGGGGAGGGTTTCTTAGAAGCACCCCTGCTTCTTAGAAGGCGCGGGCCTTATCTGCAGATGTAAGGCCGGCGCCTTCTAAGAAGCAGCCTCCTTCTAAGAAGCCCTTCCCCCTCCCTCCATCCCCTTGTGCGCGCCGCCAAGATTCAGGAGGGAAAGAAACACACAGACACAATTAATCGGCGATTCCCCGGAAAATATGGGAAAATATGGGAAGTGGGGGGGAAGACAAAACCCAGAAAATATGGGAAAATATGGGGAATCTTTTTATTTGTGTGTATTTATTTGTGTGTTCTAATTTCCCTTTAAAGATACATCTCCTGGATCCGCCGACTCTCCGCAGTCGCCGAGCTGTGCGTGCCCGCGGGGGCCTGCGGGGCAGGCGCCTCCGCGGGCCTCCCACCCTTCAGAGCACTGGCCCGTCGTGGGGTGGTCGGGGGGAGGAAGGAGGGGGTCGAGCAGGAGGAGGTTCCGGAGGAGGAGGAAGAGGAGGAGGAGAGGAGGAGGAGAGGAAGCAGGAGGAGGAGGAGGAGGCGGAGGAGGAGGAGGAGGAGGAGGAGGAGGAGGAGGAGGAGGAGGAGGAGGAGCAGGAGGAGGAGGAGGAGGAGGAGGAGGAGGAGGAGGAGGAGGAGGAGGAGGAGGAGGAGGAGGAGGAGCAGGAGGAGGAGGAGGAGGAGGAGGAGGAGGAGGAGGAGGAGGAGGAGGAGGAGGAGTCTCTTGGCGGCCTCTTGTGGATCTCGTGGGGCCTCCTGGGGGCCTCTTGATGGGCCTCTTGGGGACCACTTCGGGGCCTCTTGGAGGCGTCTTGGGGATCTCTGGGGCCGCCTCAGGACGCTCCTGGCTCGTCGCACGCCTTCAGAGGCCATCTTGGGGACCTCTCTGGGCCCTCTTAGGACCCTCCTGAGGCACAGTAATGCCGTCTTGCCGTCCTCCTCATAGGCCGTGCGGTGCGGCTGCAGGTCGCTGCGCGTGCCGCTTTCTGCGAGCGCAGGGTACCGACATCCTAGGCACTGCCAGTTCGTCGGCTGCGTCTGCAATTTGACCGAAGCTGCAGACCGCGGGAGGTCACCGCTGCACCGCGTGCGCTGCATGCATTTCTTGCCCGCACCAGTACGTTTCAGGATCTCCCTGGTATGGCGGCCACTGTTGGTCGACGGTCTTCGCACACCGTGCGAGCGGGGTGCCGGCAACCCTCGCAGCGCCACCGATTCTTGTTGCCAGCTTCCAGTCACGTCGAAAATCCGGCCAAGGGCACAGGTTCTGCGCTGCACATTTCCGAGCATGTCGCAGAACCACGAACCGCCCTGTAACCTGTTGTTCGTGCGGCTCGCAGCGGTCACTGCGTGTGCCGCACTGTGCGTACGCAGGACACTCGCAGGTGAGGCAGCCACACCATGTGCATTCCATCTCTTTTGCCTCCTCCTCTTCCCCTCGCCTACCCCCTCTCCTCCCCCTCTCCGGCTCCTCGGTTTTCAACCCAGGCCCCACCTCGGGGTGGTTGAGGGCCTCGGCGAGATTAGAGGCCGCGATTTTTCCAAATCAATGTCCTATCCTACCCACCTCCAGCTGCGCCTAAAGCAGCAACATGGGCGATGGTTCTCAAAGGTGTCCGGGGGCAATGACCTCCTCGCTGAGCGTGCCACACTCAGTGCGCTCGCGTTCCAGGCACCGCCACGTGCTCCTGTAGATAGCAGCGGTCTTCACGAGGTCTTCACGAGGTGCCTGTAGTCCGGGGGAGGTACCTGCAGTCTAGGGGGGGACCGCGTGTTCACGCGTCAACGCGCGCGGGGATGTAGTCCTGGGCGTGTACCTGTAGTCCAGGGGGGATACCTGTAGTGTGTGTGTGTGTGTGTGCGTGTGGGTACCTGTAGTCCTGGGAGGGCACCTGTAGTCCGGGGGAGGGGTACCTGTAGTTCGAGGAGAGGGTACCTGTAGTCCGGGGGGTACCGGCAGTCTGGGGAAACGGAACACGACCGCGCTGGAATCGCACGCCAGTTACCCCAGAGGGGGCGAGGGGCCGCCGTGGTTTTCGTTTTGCGGGGTCCATCCTGTGAAATGTGCAAACACAATGACGATGGGGAGGAAGAGGGGATGAGGTGGAGGAGGAGGAGGAGGAGAAGGAGGAGGAGGCGGGGGAGGGGGAGGAGGGGAGGAGGAGGAGGAGGAGGAGGAGGAGGAGTAGAGAGAGGAGGAGGAGGGGAGGAGGGAGGAGGGAGGAGGAGGAGGAGGAGGAGGAGGAGGAGGAGGGGGGGGACGGGCGAGGGTGGGCACCTCTGCCTCGTGCCTTGTCGGTGCGCAGGTGCCCATGCTGGACGTTGTGGTCTTGGCACCCCTGCTCATTACGACCATCATCATGTACGTGTTCATGGTGTTCGTTAAAGAAGAAATTATCGTTAGCATGTATAGGCGCGGAGGGCGGTGCCATATCGGTAGACATAGATCAAGGGCAGAAGAAACGCCCCTACCCTGGTTTACGAGGCGCTGTGCTCTGAATCTCCTGTGGGCTGACAGGGTAAACCCTGCGTAATGTGCCGCGTCCTGGCGGCTCTAGGCTTTGGGGGTTCCCAGGAGGTTTACAGACCACGCACTTGTAACCCAGGGTAGGGTCGTTTTTTCATCCCTCAAATAGAGCAGGATTAGTGTGAGCCGTGCCACGAGCGAGCAAACGGCACGAGGGCCGCAAGCAGTGCTCCATCGTTTTGCATACTGTTTTTTTCTTGGGTGCCTTCCTTCTCTCTCCAACCTTGCGCTTGGCCCTCGTCTTGTGACAGGGTAGGTTTGAGTGAGCGACCGAAATTTGTGTGATACATGTTCCAGGGTTCTTTCCATACGTGCTGTGACCAACTTGCTTTTGATGACCAGTTTGCTTTTTGTATGGAAAGCGGCGCTTCCAAAACGGGCGGGATCCGCTGGGTTGTTGTTCCTTGAGGCTTGGCTATTGGGAGGACGCCCACGATGACAAGGTTGGATCAGCTGCGATATGGTCTCTTGGCTTCCTTGTCGTTGGAGCGGGTTGGGGAGCATCGTGAAGTTGCCGATTAGTGCAGGAGTGGATTCATGCCAGCGTGCATAGCTGGTTACGAGAGGCACCATGCCGACCCACAGAGCGGTGTCAGCAGCGAGCATGCATTCTTGTAAAAGAGGAGGCGGACCCAGTTCATGAGGCCCGAAGGTCGGAGGCGCATGCAGGAGCCGAAAACGGGGAAGGAGTGGCCATCTTCTTGAATCCAGAAGCGCCCAGGCAGAGTAGGAATCTCACGGAGCTGGAAGGAGTCGGGTTGACCCAAAAGGGGGTCCAGACAAGGGGGTGGTGCAATAGGTTTGGTGCAGTACATTCGTGGGGTTGCAATACCTTTAGGGCGTGCAATGCGTTCCGGGGCGCAAGTGTATTGCTGGATTTTCGCATGCAATACATTGCAATACAGAACAGTTCTCCGGCGCAATACATTTGCAATACAATCAAACCTATTGCATTACCCCCTTTCAGCTGGACCCCCCATTGCGTCACCCAAAAAGAGGGAATACTGATCCAGAAACAAAGCGGCTTCGTACTTTGTCGAATCAAGATGTCTCACCAATCTTGCGCGGGATATGCCAGGGACTTCGGAAGGCGTATCGTAAGGGGAGTTGAAGGAAAGACTGAGGGAGGCCAGAAGGAAACGTGAAGGAGTTTTGTGGGATATTCCGGGGCATGTGTACCGTGTATCATGCACACATCTGTGTGAGTGAGCGGGTCAGAATGATCGAAGACGCCTGCGGCGGCTCACCGACGCCTATGTGGCCCAACGTTTGGGTAAAGTTTGGCCCCGCCATTGGACCATGCGTTCCCCAGCCGTTGTGGAAGCCCTTCGGGGAACACGTGGGGGAGGACATGGAGGATGAGGAGAGGGAGGAACAAGGAGTATGAGGAGAAGGATGAGGAGATCAGGGATTTTCTTGGGCCATTCTTGGCGCCTCCTGGGAGCTTCCTGGGGGTTTCTTGGAGGTCTCGTGGGGGCCTCCTTGGGCCTCTTGGGGGCCTCTGACGGGCCTTTGGGGGCTTCTTGACAGCTCCTTCAGCCGTCTTACGGCGTTCCTGACCCAGTCGACGCAGGCGGAAAGCATCTTGGGAGCTGTGGGGCCGTTTTGGGACCCTCTTGGGGCGCTTCAGGGTCGTCTTGGAGCCCATCTTGGGTGCTTGGGAGTCTTGGGCCGTCTTGGGGCACTGTAGGGGCCGTGTTGGGAAACGCCTACGGAACAATCAATGAAGTTTGCCTCCAGTGGCCCTCTTCTGAGCCCTCTTGGAGGTCTTTGGGGACGTCTTAGGATCATTTTGGGTAGACTTGAGACCATCTCAGGCGTCTTGGACCGAGTGTTCAGCGATTCGGGGCCCTCTGTGACCATCTTTGGGGCATCTTGGCCCTCTTGGCCCCTCTGGGGGCCCTCCTGAGACCGAACAAATTACGCGAGAAGCTGCGACGCGCCCCATTGGCCAACCCTTCTGATCGATGCCTTCAGCAACGCAATCGTGTTTAGGTAGTTCTATCGCACCTGCTTCTTACGACGCTACGGGTTTCCAGTTATTGTTGCTTCTCAAACGTCTCTCTGACCTTCGTTGATTCCATGCCCACAGGTTTCCTTTACACTGCTTCGAACGATCGCAAGCTGTGACAACGCCATCGATGACCCCCCGTTTCATCTCAATTGCAATCACACAGTTTGGACATCCCACCTACGCCAAATTCACAGTAAGGCGTGGCAGCTTCATCTTCGCGCGACCGCGCCAACCGTTTATTGAGATACATCATACTATTGAGATACATCATACGTGTTGTCTACTTGGGATTCACCAGGTGTCCCACCACACGTTTTTTTTCACCGCCGAGGGCACATTTCTGCGCCATCATGTTGTCACCTGGACGGCCGTCTGCGCCTTGGGGAGTTGGCGCCACGGTGCAAGTTTTGAGGGAGGGCAGCTCTGATTTCGAGCAGTGGCCAGTAGATCCTCGGGTATGCAGGATTCATTCTGCTGCTGGCGTGGCTCTTCAGCTCCACGAGGCATGTGGTCGTCCTCACAGACTGCCGCGTGTTCTACATCAGATATCAGGCGGCTTCCACTCGATTTGCACTGCTGCTGACCGCCTTTTTCACCTTCCAAGGCTTTCTCCCTGCCTCCGACTTCCCCCTCCCCCTCCCCCTCCCCCATCCTTCCCAACTTCCCTTTTTCGCTCCCGCTCCCTTTCCACGTTCCTCTCCCGTTCCCCGCTCCCTCCTTACGTTTGCCCTTCCCGCCCCCTTTTTTTTCTGAGGGTGCACACTTCGGGTCGTCTGAATCAGAGGTTCGTTCGCGGCAAGGGTGCATTCTTCAAAAGTGTCGCTTGTGTGTATCGGTTCTGTCATACGCACCTCGACACTGGTAACCATTGAGCTTTGGAACGCGTGGTCCACGTGGCTTATAGGACAGTGTGGCGTGGCGAGTCGTACATATGGCTACATAAGCTGCTGCGAAGTCACTAACCAGAAGTTCTGTGACGAGATTAGTCTTCCGATTCCGACCCCCAATATCCAAAGCCAGTGTCATTTCGACAAGGGATGTAGTTTCGCCAGCGCGACCGTAGCTTACACTTGAGATGGCTGCGGATGCACACACATACAGGAAGAGCAGAAGGGTGAGGAGGAATTCTTGACGCTTCACGTATCCTCACCAGTCTGGCTCTGTGCCCCAGTCAGCCCGATTGACACGCCCTCTGGACTCTTTCTTGCGGGCCGCAGATCAAAAAAAGTATCCTCACCAGCCCATTCAGTAACGATGCCCAGGCGAGTTGCATTGATCAGAGAAGTGTTAGAGCATGCAGTCGAACAAAGGGGGGGGCATCCGTGAAACCGAAGAGCGGGATCAGCCTGAGCAGGCCCAGGAGTCATCCACAAGCACTTTCGCGGATCTTTCGATCTCGGAGCCTTTTGGCAGCTTTCTCGGCCTATCTTGGGACTCTGATAAGGGGCCATTCTGGAATGGGGCCCTCTTGGGGCCCTCTTGGGGCTCTCTCGATGCCCTCTTGGGAGCCCCGGTGCCCCTCCTGGGGCCCTCTTGGAGAATATCGATCCAAGAAGGGGGGGTCCTTACGTAGGGTCCTCCCCCGAGCCCCTAGAATCGCCTCTTGGGGCCCTCTTGGGGCGCTTTTGGAGCGCTCTTAGGCGCTCTCGGGGACGTCTTGGAGCCCTCTTGGGTCCCTCTTGGGACCCTCTTGGGGTCCTTTTGGGCCATCTTGGAGCCATCTTGAGCCTTCGGAGGCCCACTGGAAGCGAAAAAGTGAGAAGGCAAACCACGTCGATGTTCCTTACTGGTTGGACGGATTTGGGCCTCTTGGAGGCGCCCTGAGAGGGCTCCGAGGCCACGTAGACCCGTCTTCGATCGATCTTGGATCCTTTTGGGGCATGTTGGAAGTCATATCGCGCCAATTTTAAGGTATCGTGAGCCGTATTGAAGGTCAATTTATGTTATCTGAGGTTATTTTGGAATTATTTTGGGTATTTTTGTTTTTTTGATTTTTCGCCACGCCCCCCCGTCCAGTTCCAGGGGAAGGGGGGAGGGTGGAGGGGTCAAGAGGCCTCTCTCAGACGCAAACTGTTTGGCTCACTCCCACCCGCCCTCCCAACACATACGTAGTACCCGAGTCTCAACACTTTCAGCGGTCGTCTTTGAATGAACAGCCTACTGGGAACCAATACAGAACCCAGGTGCGCGACTCTGGGGCGAGGTGCGCCTCGCGTGCCAGGCGCGCCACGCGCACCAGCGGCGCCAGAAGCTCCTACGGTACAAGCGTACCAGGCACGCCTGGTTCGCCAGATGTGCCACGTGCTCCACGTGCGCCAAGTGTGCCGCATGCTCCAGCCGCGTCAGGTGCGCTACGTTCGGGGCACGCGCAGAGTGTGCCAGGTTGGCCAACGCACATAGGGAAGCATGTTGGCCTCCACCATCTTTGCCGAAAGCCGGCGAACAATCAAGAAAGCAAATGCAAAGTGGTTGCGGTGTGTTCTCGCATGAACCAGATTTAGTCGCGAAGTGCAGTTTGCACGTTTTTTCGACGGGCGGTGGCCCTGATGCCGCAGAGCGTACTGTTGTATTGTTGAGGGGTGTTGGCATGGCAAAAAGAAGGGCACTGCTGCCGCACCTGTCAAGCACCGATGCAAAGCGGTCGCAGGGCGCCTGCGCATGTTGTATGGTTTTTGACGGATGGTGGGGGGGTCTCATGGGTCCGGGTTGGCTGCCGGTCGGGTGGGGGAGGGGGTGATTGTTCATGGGGAGCAGTGATGAAGCCCTTCCCCGAAGAGGAAGAAGGGATTGGAAGAGGCAGCGCCCCAAACCACCTCCGCTCTAGAAGTCTGGTGTGAGTAAGTTGAACAACACATAGCTGTTGGACGCCGCTTGCTTTGGACGTGGAGGTCTCCGAACTCCTCTATCTCTCAGGGGTGGGCAATACTTTTCTTCCTCGAAGGCCATCATTCCGTTAATGCTCGTGCTCGTGCTCGTCAACCAACCTCGTCCTTTGGGTAGGTCACGGGATTGCAGTCCTGATCGTCCAGGATGTCTCGCCGCCCAGAGTCGTTCGCCTTCTTGGCTTACATTAACAGCTCGAGGTGCACCAGTCGTCGGCGAGCCCAGGGGAAGTGAGGGGGTGCTGGCCTTCTCTGACGGCGGTGGGGCTTCTCAGAAGCCCTCCGACCTTCCGAGAAGCCGCCTCCATCTTCGGAGAAGGCTCAGAAAACTTCTCGGAGGGCCGGACGCCCTGATATCGGTGTCACCCAACATATTTCTATATGTGCGTCACCCCCCAAGGGGCGACGCGCGCACCGAGAAATCTTATAATAGTATATGCGTTTTGGCGGGCGCTATCTGGCCAGGCCGCTCGGGAAATTATATTACAAGATGGGTCTACTGTATGTTCGGGTCGGACGCGCGCCTCCAAGGAGGACATATCGAATTAGTATGCATCTGTGCGTCCCATAAGAGTCTTCTGGCAAGGCCCGCCCCCTCTGACTTCCTCCCGTGGGCTCGCCGCCGCACCAGCCTCCATCAGCCGCGTGTCAGAAAGCCGACCGGTACTCCCTCGAACCCTCCGCGCCCCCCTCCGGCCCGGCCCGGGCCGCGGGCGGGCACGGCTGCAGAGCGCATCCGCCTCGTGGTGGCCTTGCCGGTGGCCATGCCCTGGCGGAGCCCCAAGGGCTTCGAGCCCACCCCCCTCCCTTCCCCGCCCCCCTTTCCTTCCCCGTCCTCGCCCGACGCCGGTCAGAGGAGGAACAGGTACCCACACCGTTACCCTTCTGCCGTTTTCCCCTTTTGGGGCCTCCTGGGCGGCCCTCGTCGCCACCGCTGGATTCGCCTCGAAGTTCTGGTCAGAACGCCCCCCCGGGGGGTGCAGGGGGTATCCGTATCAGTACCTTTTGGTTTCCCTAGCCAGCGACGACTCCAGCTGAGTGCCCGCAGAACTGGGAATGTGCTGCAGCGGAGGGTGCAGTGGCGTGGAGGGGGCCCACGCCGCGCGCGACCGCGCCGCGCGGGGCCGCGCCGCCGTGGTCAGGCAGCCCGCGCGCTGCCTCGACCGTCCGGGCGAACCCTTAGCGAGCCCTCTCTCGCCCTCCTCTTCCTCCTCCTCCTCCTCCTCCCTTTCCTCAACCCTTTCCTCCTCCCTTTCCCTCTCCTCCTCCTCCTCCTCCCCTTCCCTCTCCTCCTCCTCCTCCTCCTCCTCCTCCTCCTCCTCCTCCTCCTCCTCCCTCTTCCCTCCTCCTCCTCTTTCCTCCTCTTTCTCCTCCTCCTTCTCCTCCTCCTTCTCCTCCTCGTCCTCGTCCTCCTCCTCCTCCTCCTCCTCCTCCTCCTCCTCCTCCTCCTCCTCCTCCTCCCCCCAACTCCTCCTCCTCCTCCTCCTCCTCCTCCTCCCTTTCCTCAGCCCTTTCCTCCTCCCTTTTCCTCTCCTCCTCCTCCTCCTCCTCCTCCTCCTCCTCCTCCTCCTCCTCTTTCTCCTCCTCCTTCTTCTCCTCCTCCTCCTCCTCCTCCTCCTCCTCCTCCTCCTCCTCCTCCTCCTCCTCTTTCTCCTCCTTCTCCTCCTCCTCCTTCTCCTCCTCCTCCATTCCTTTTCCTTATAATAACTTCTCCTTGTCGCACGCCGAGGCTGTTCGACAGGGCGGACAGGGCGTTTCGCCTGAGGGGTCCTCGCCATATATGACCCTGAAGCTTACACACCGGCAAGAGTGGAGGGCGGGTCGTTTTCAAAATGTGGCTCTGGCCTTAGCGCCGCACACATTCACTGTAAAAGTTCAAGAGTTGCACGGACTGAGGGCGGTTCTTTTTCAACACGTGGCTCTCGCTTTAGCGCCGCGCGCATTCTTTGTCAACCATGCAACAGTTTCATGTTTTCTCGTGGTCAACGTGCCGGAAATAGAGTTTTGGACTTATTCAGGGTTATGAGGGTGCAACATTTACGCTGATTCGCGGTGTTGAAGTCCCAGGAATGGCGTTCTGGTGCGATTCAGGATCGCTAAGACGGAACAGTCAGGTTGATCCGTGTCGTTGGAGTCCAGAATGTTGTTCTTGCATGCTCCAGGGTCTTCAAACGATTGTCTTCCAACGAGGCAGTTCATTCGGTGGAAATGAATATTTGGTTATTCCAGCATTTTTGCTGACTCATGTGTTTGCACTGGTCCTCCTGCTTTTCCTCCTCCTCCCGATCTCCTCCCCCTCCTTCTCCTCCTCCTCCTCGTCCTCCTACTCCCCCTCCTCCTCCTCCTCCTCCTCCTCCTCCTCCTCCTCCTCCTCCTCCTTCCCCTCCTCCTCCTCCTCCTCCTCCTCCTCCTCCTCCTCCTCCTCCTCCTCCTCCTCCCCCTCCTCCTCATCCTCCCTCCCCCCTCCTCGTCCTTGCCCTCGGCTCCCGAGCTGCCCCGCCGAGGCGAAGGTGTGGTGGCTCCTGAAGTTTGTGCCCCAGCTGCGCCTGGACGTGTTCCGCCACGACCACGAGATCACGTACGGGAGCCTGATGACCTCTGCGTGGGGCGGGGCCAACGAAGGAAGAGTACAGAGGAAACCCATGCCAAGAAACACCCTGCTTGCCTCCTCCTCCCCCTCCTCCTCTTCCTCCTGCTCCTCCTCCCCCTCCTCCTCCTTTTCCTCCTCCTAGTTCCTCCTCCCACGTGCACCTCCCTCTCTTTGCACTTGTACACTGGAAGCCCATGCCAAGAAACACCCTGCTTGCCTCCACGGTGCCCTGGGTTTCTTGGGTTTCAATGGTTTTGCAATTGAAAGCGTGGCGCTTCCACACCCCAAATCAGTGGACGTCCTGGGGTCTTGGGATTGGGTTTCTTGTGGAGGGTTCTGTGTGGTCGACCCCCTACTGTACCCATACCGCTACACTTCCCAGTTTTTTCATCTTCTGGGGTCTCCTGGGAGGCCCTCGCCGCCACCACTAGATTTGCCTCGAAATTTTGGTCAGAACGCACGCCAGGTGAGGTCCGGGGAGCAGCGGTATCGGTACCGGTTTCCCCACGGGGGGGCGCGGCGAGGGGAGAGAGGAGGGAGAGGAGATTTGGGCCAGCCTGCTGCCACGATCGGGGAAGCGCAGACATGGATCAAGGCGCGTGGGTCCGAGACGGGCCCCGTTCTCCACGAAGTCGGCGCGCTCCGTTGCCAACTCGGGCGGCACTGGCGCCACGTTGCAGGAGCCACGGCCCCCGGTCCGTGCACTGGCGCCCATGCGCCAAATATCCACGGACCCTGATGGGCCTGTTTTCCACCACCACCACCATAAGTTGGAGGGGGGAAGGAGGTGGAGGACGAGGAGAGGAGGAGGAGGAGGAGGAGGAGGAGGAGGAGGAGGAGGAGGAGGAGGAGGAGGAGGAGGACCCCCTGCCACTCCAACTTATGGTGGTGGTGGTGGAAAACAGACCCATCAGACCCCTCACCCGTGTCAGCGTGCGCCCGACATTAGTGGTAGTCGGCGACAGAGCTCGATGAGGCTGACTGGTGTGCGAGGGAGGGGCCCTCCTCTCTGGCCTGGCCGTCGGAGGCATGAGCGGCAAAGCTGCGCCCACGGGGCGGCTCCTTGAGGATGTGTTTCGCGCCGGTGGTCCAAAGCCTGATGATTCCGGAGGCTGTGCCCACCAAAGAAGTGCTCACGCGATTCAGCCAGAATAGGGGCCCAGGAAAGTCACATGACAATCCCACGAGAGCTTCGCCGTGCCAAGATGACCCCTGAGACAATCGGAGAGGGGGCTCCGAGGGTCTCGAGATGTTCCCTGTCGGCCCAGAGACGGTCCAAGTAAGGCGAAGCCGCGTAGGAAAGCTCCAGCATACTCCAGGAGGCTCCCGCTCCGCTTTAGCCATAGCGCAGTACCAGCAGCAATTACCACGGCATCAGTGGCGTCACTCTGGGCGGTCCAAACACCAGCATCCGATGGAGTGGGGCACGAATGAAGCTGGCTGGGAAGGATACGCGGATGGATGGGGGCGGTATTAGCCGGAGCTATTCGGGAATAGCGCGTCGATATGTATGTGCTGAGTCAAATCAGTCAGTTGCGTTTTGTTTTGCTGGTTGTCCCCTCCCCCCATCGCTCTTCCCGACCAGGTTGTGGGGTGGGCAGCTACAGCATGCACGCGCCGCACCACTGCCCCAGAGCAGAAGGCTGTGGGACGATGAGGCGGCGAAGGACGGTAAAAACCTTTTTGTGTAGCCGCGAATACCTCCAGAAGCGCCCTTCAATGGCAAGCTGCGACGCGCGTTCCCCTGGACTAGGCGCTGGAATCTGGGCGCTCGCGCGTGGTTCTAGTTCTCGGAGTGTCCAGTGATACACCATATTGAAAAGGAATGGTCCTCCATCTGTATAACTGTTGCTCGGTTTCATGTTTTTTGGTTATACGTTGTCAGTAGGTCGCAACATTGACTTCTGGTCACGCGTGACGAAGCAGTCTCATGCGAACACCCCATTTCGAACAGTATGCGTCCTCCATCCCTGCAACAGTCGGCAGCTTTGAAGACGGACTTGCGTTTTTTAGCGAGAGCCGCGTTTTGAAAGCCACCTGCCCTGCTTTCCTTGAAACGTTGGGAGGTTTAGACGCGAATGTGCACGGAATTTGCACAATTTTCTGAATTTGCAAGCCTCGGGCTCCTATGCGGCGCGGAAGTTTCAGGCGAAACGCCCGGCCGCTCTACCCACGCGTCTGGGGGTGCGACGAGACGTTGTTCGTAGACGAGAAAGGTGGATGATGAGGAGGAAGAAGAAGAAGAGGAAGCGATGTGTTGTTTCTTTTTTGTATACTAGCCTCACTTCGTCCAGCTCTCCCTAGCCGCCCTGCCCCCCCTTCTTCGCCTGGCACCGCTGCAATGGCTTCAGGGGAAGGCCAACGCTCTACCAGCGGGCAACCCGGGCCCCCTGGACGCCAGGCGCTATCCCGCTGGTTTTCTTGTCGTCGTCGCTGCCGTCTTCGTCGCCGCAGTCGTTGTCACCGTGTCGCCGCCGCCGTCGCCGTCGCCATCGCCGCCATCGACGCCGTCTTCGGAGGAGGAGGGGAAAGGGGAGGAGGAGGGGTCGGAGGGGGAGGATGGGGAGCCAGAAGGGAGGATGGGATGGGGCATGGGCAGGAGGAGGAGGAGGAGGAGGAGGAGGAGGAGGAGGAGGAGAAGAAGGAAGCGGAGGAGGAGGAGGAGGAGGAGGAGGAGGAGCAGAAGGAGGGGGCCTCATTGGAGGAGGGCAGGCAGAAACAGCCCAACGCAACACAAGGAACATCAAGCAACGGGATGCAATGCAAGGCAATGCAAATACAGTGCTCTGCACGACACTGCTTCGCAATGCCACGCAAATCAATCAAGCCCATGCTCCGCTTCTCCATGTCAAAAGACAGGCCCTAATGGGTGGTGCGACAGTTTTTTCCTATCATCCTGTGGTGTTGGGTCCTCGCTGTGATGAGACAGCATTTCGCGTCCTCCTTCGTCCTCCCCCTCCTCCAATTTCTACCTTTGCCCTCCGCATGTCCTCACTACCATCACATCATCATCATCGTCATCATCATCACAATCATCGTCATCATCTTCATCACCACCACCAGCATCACGATCATCATCATCATCATCACCATCACCATCACTACCGTCATCATCGTCAGCATCATCGTTATCATCATGCTGATCATCATCACCATCATAATCACCACCAGTACCCACCATAGTGATCATAATCATAATCACTACTATCATCACCGTCAGCACCATGTAACCAGTCAGTAGCATCGTGATCGACATAATCACAACCAGCACAATCACCACCACTAGCAACACCATCACCAACAATGCCAACATCATCAACACCGTCACCATTCTCCTCCTCATCATCATCATCATCGTCGTCGTGGTCGTCGGCGTTGGCGTCGGCGTCGGCGTCGTCGGCGTCGACGTCGGCGTCGTCGCCGGCGTCGTCAGCACTAGCAGCATCGTCATTATCACCGTTATCACCGTTCTCACAGTCATCACCGTCATCACCATCACCATCTCCATCACCATCATCATCATCACCATCACCATCACCATCACCATCACCATCACCATCACCATCACCATCACCATCACCATCACCACCATCATCATCATCATCATCATCATCATCATCATCATCATCATCATCATCATCACCATCAGCATAACCACAACGCAATTCACATGTTATTCGGTACACCCCTCACACGCTTCGAGACTCCATTGGGAGCTCTCCCGACGCCCGAAGGCCCGAGCGGCAGGGTCCGCATGGCGTACCCGGACCCGATCTGGCACACCCTTCACACGATTCGTTGTCCGCTTCGGAGCTTTACCGAAGGCCCCAGCGACAGAGTCCGTATGGTGCACCCGCACCAGATCTGGCACAATTTTCACACGTTTCGTGACTCCATAAAGGGGACCCCTCAGAAAGCCCCAGCGGCAGGGACAGCATGATGTACCCGCACCCGATTCGGCACACCCCTCACAGATTTCGTGGTCTCATTTGGAGCTCCACCGAAGGCCCCAGCGGTGCACCCGTACGTGATTTGGCCCCCCTCACACATTTCGAGAAAACAACATGGCTCGACGACCACACTGCAAGCGGAAGCTGGTGGGCAATTCGGAAATATTGTCGCTCGAAGCCGCGTCGTCAATGAAGATTACGCAGCTTGGATGGGAGACTTGTTGACAGCGAGGAGCGCGCTGACGCCATGGCGATCTTCCTGGAGCAAGTGCAATGGAAAGTTCGCTTTGCCGAGGTTTTGGACATCGCCCCGCTGGGCCCGGAATTGCCTGTATCCGAGGCTCTCACAAATGAAGTAGGTACAGTCGTCGCGACATTGAAATGGAACAAAGGTTCAGGGCCAGATGAGGGCCCAGCGGAGTACTGGGAAGCTCTTTCAAAGACCAGGTGGATTCGAATGCTTTACAATTTCATTCAACGTGTTCTTGGAGTCAGAAGAGATTCCCACACAATGGCGGCCATCAGCACGATCTACAAACGCAACGGGGCTGTTGACCAATGTGACAATCATCGGCCGATCAGCCGGGTTTGCGTTGCATGCAAACTATTCGCGAGTCTCTTGTTGGGGCGACTTCAGGCTGCCGGCGCCAACGATCGCCTGACTCGAACGCAGTTCGGCTTCCGGCGTGGGAGAGGGGCGACAGATGCCATACACGTTGTCGGTCACGATTGGAAGTTGGCTTTCCCGACTACGTCAACGTGGACGCGCTGAGCGAAGCTCTTCGGACAGTCGGAGTTTGGGAGGATGATATCCATCATCGGCAATATCTACAAACACCAGAGGTTCTACGTTGCCGACCATGGACGCCAATCTCAAGAAAAAACAACAGGTGTTTGGGAATTTTGCAGTGCTGTCCACTCTCGTCATATTTTCGTCGTGGTCATGCTGGTGGATGTTGAGAATGGCATGTGCCATTTGGACAACGCGACCAGAGAAGAGTTCGAGGCGGGCAATGTGTCCCTCCTTGTGTACGCTGGTGTTACGCTGATAGGAGAACCTGTAGTACACTTACAGCATCTGCTGAATGAAATCGCCGCCGCCGGAGCCCAGGTGGGCATGGAACTGCATTTGGACAAGTTCCAGCTCATGCACATCAGCACATAAGGTCCCCATTTGGCGCGAGGATCGAGTCAAAAGATCACCTAGCAAATATTTGCAGGCCACTTTGTACAATTCTGGTTGGTCTCCTCCGTGGCGAGCTCGGACGGCGCGTCGGCGTTGCCCCGGGTGCGTTCACAAAGTTTGAGCGGGCTTGGAAGCGTACTTTTATCAGCGAGCGCAGAAAGCTCCAAATCTTTCAAGCAATGGTAACGAACAAGGTCCTGTATTCTCTTGCCACTGCGTGGCTGAATAGATCAGAGCGAAGGCGATTGAATGAGTTCCGAGCGACGTGCCTCAGGCGAATTGCGTATGTCCCCCTGCCTATGTTTTGCGAGTTTCGAGCAAGTTTGTCCTCGACGCCGCTGGCCAAGGCCGTACAGCGCTCAACTACTCAGGCACCAACTTTTTTGGTTTTGAAATCTGGGGAGAAGAGACAATGATGACTCTCTTCGTGATTTGATGTTTCAGTCAGGGATAGTGCTGCCCGTTGTACAGCAGTTGCGCAGGAGAAGAGGGCGCCCGCGCAATGACTGGGCCTCGCTCCTGTACCGGAAGGAATTTGTTTGTTTCGATTCGCGCAGCAAGCTGATGGATTATGTTATCGTCGACCAGTACAACGGCGACTGCGCCATCGAGCATGATGAGTAGCTTGCGGGCCCCGCATGCGCATCTGCTTGCGAATTTGCGGTTGTTTTCCTCCCCCCTCGCGTGGTCCTCCTCCTCCTCCGCCTCCTCCTCCTCCTCCTCCTCCCCATCCCCCTCCTCCTCCCCCTCCTCGCACAACGAGCGGGCGCTGCCGTTGGCGCTTGACGAGCTCGATCTGCGACGCGCCCGTCGATGCCAGTCGACGCGGAGCAGGATGAAGAGGGTGGCTTGCCAACCGCGTGTGCCGATGTCGTGCGTGAGCGACCAGCAATGGAGGATGCGGCACCTTTGGGAAGGCAGGGCACCACACCTTCGACACTGCAGCTGATATGAAGTACCTGTTCTAGCTCCATTGGGCCCTCGGAGTTTAGGCAAGTCGTTCTCGTCCGCAGGATCCCCGGGGAAGGATTCCGCAGTCTCGTGGAAGGACGGCGGGGCCCTTGGGAAGGATGTCGCAACCTCGAGGGGCGGTGGAGCGTTCGAGAACGATTCGTCGAGCAGGAGGGGACCGCTGGTGACGCCCAGAGGGGGCCGCTCTGTCGCTGCTGCCAGCCAGGACCTTCTCCTTCCTCCGATCCCCCCTCGTTCGAGCCTCCCCTCGCCTCGCCTGCCTCCCTCCTTCAAAGAGCTGGTCGCTTACGCCGCAAAGTTCTGAGCCAGTCTGTGAGGCCCCGGGGCCCGATGCGGTCCTGGGATGTTTTTTTGTTGTTTGTTTGTTTTTGTTGTTGTGTCTTCCTCCTCACGTGCTTGAGCCCTTGAGTGCTTGTCATTTTTTTTTTTTTCGGGCCTTTGGTCGAGCGAAGGCAATTCGGGGGCTCCCACCTGGGGGGTGGGCGTTGTCGTAAATCGCTGTGTGCAGCGATCTATAGATCGCTCGTCGCCGGGTTTTTTCCTCGCGATGCGTTTGTCGCTGCGTAGCTTCGACCTTCGACCCGATGTCGATCCGCCGCCGCCTCCGCCGCCTCCACTTCCTCCTCCTCCTCCTCCTCCTTTTCTTCCCCCTCCCCCTCCTTCTCTTCTTTCTCCTCCTCCTCCTCCTTCTCCTCTTCCTCCCCGTCCTCCTTCTTTTCCTCCTCCTGTTTCTCCTCCTCCTCCTCCTCCTCGTCGTCGTCGTCCTCTTGATCCACTCAGCTGGCGCAGCGTTTCACCCTCCATTTCGCGTCGTCGCTTGAGACTGGCTCTGCCCACGCGCCGGACGGCGTATGGCTTGTGAGTGAGTGAGTGGGAGCCCCACCGAAGGCCCCAGCGCCATTTTCACATGGCGTACCCGCAGTCGATTCGGCGCACATTTCACACGCTCTGTGCTTTCATAGGGAACGCCACCGGAGGCCCCATGGGGCGTCCCCATGCCCATTTCGGCACACCCCTGACACGTATCGTGGCCGCGCAGGGAAATCCATTGAAGGCCCCAGCGGCAGGGCCCGCATGCGCCCCCAGGCCTACTTCGACACACATTCCGCACATGTTTCGTGGTCTCATACGGAGCTCCACTGAAGGCCCCGGTGGCAGGGCTCGTATACGCCCCCAAGCATTTCGGCACACCTTTTGCACGTTTCGTGGCCCCATATTCAGCTTCTCTTGTTTCGTCCAGCCGTCCTTGCGATACTACCACTTGCACATGTTTGGGTCCCTGCGTATATTCATTGTTTTGCAGACTTAGTTTGGGGCGTGACCAACAGCGACCGCCCAGATGTTGCTCTGTATTTGTCAAAGGTGCGGCATGTTCCAACGTGCCCGCTCGAACAGTCGCTACGAGAGTAGGGCGCCTGCGCGATGGTATGAGGCCATGCGGTGTGTGGGAAGACGCGCGCCGTCGCACGCCTTCAAAACAAAGTTGGCCGTCAAGTTGTTAGCCAAAGTCGGCTAAGTGTCCGTGCTCGCTGGACAGGGGCGGGGGAGGGGGCGTTCGCGAGACTTCGGGGCACAATTATAATAATTGTTCCCTGTCCTCAGTCACACGATGGCATGGTCATGCGGCGTGCCCGTGGTCATGCGCCTGTTACCATGCGCGTGTGTCCGCGCAGGCATGGGCGTACGGGAACCGGAGGTTTCCCAATATTGTTAGTTCTTGGTTTTTTTCAGTCGGATTCCGATTGAAGCATTGCAGTGCGTTGTCGTGTGTTTTCGCGAATGTTTGGAAGGCCTTGCGGCTGGTGCCGCGGACTCAGAAACGGGACGACGACGACGACGACGACGACGGCGGCGGCGGCGGCGGCGACGACGACGACGACGCTGACGCTCGAGAGCCCTCTTGGGAGCCTATTGGGTTCTGTTGGGGGTTTGCTTGGGGAGCTCCGTGGCCACTTGGAGCCTCCTCGGAGCAGATCTGAGGCCTCTGGGAGGCATGCAGGAAAACACCCAGCACCCCGCAACCGCAAATTCGAGTAAGGAGGGTGCCTCTGTGGGGGGGGGGTCTGGGAGGAGGAGGGCATGGATGGTGGCCCCCTCTGTCCACAGGGTGGAGGCGGAGGGAAGAGGTCCCGAGTTCCCCTTTTATCCCTATCCACAGGGAGACTACCACCGTCCCCCTTGTCGACGCAGGGGGGCCCCGCGGGTGGGGAGGTCACGACCCCCAGGACGCCGCCCCCCCCCCCCCCCGAGACCCCCCCCCTGCTGCCATCCCCCGCCAGGGAAGGGGTCAGAGGGATTCGGCTTTCCTTCGAGTCGCTTGCGATGTTGCCTGGTCTCCGTGTGGCGGGATCGCTTGAGGAGGAGGGTCCAGGGAACGGGAGGGAGCGGCGACGGTGACGACGATTCAAACGGAAAACAGACTCACACGGGCCGATCGGGTCGGCAGATTTATCAGCAGGCCGCCATTTGCGGCCAGCTCTGCCCTACAACCTGCTTGTCTGCGTCTCTCTGCGCTGACTTCCCGCCTTGACCGAATATCCCTGCATTCGCCAGCCATGTTGCGAATTGAGATTGGCGCTCAAGAGGGGCTACAGCCAACACTGATAGTAAGGATGATCGACTTACCAAGGGTACCCTTGCATGTTTGCATCTTCGGTCACCTTCGCCCCATCCTCGGCCACTTTCGGTGGCCAGCCCCGCTCCAGAAAGCTTCGGCACGGGCGTCCAACGCCCTTGCGTCCTTATCGCGACTTCTTACTCCCAGTTTTGGCTGTGGAGGGAATGTGCTGGCCGTCTAAGAGGGCAAGGGGGTTTCTCGGACGCGGTCGGCTCCTTCACATCCCATGTGCCCTCCGCCCTCTGTGAGGGCAGGCCCGCACCTCCGACCTGCTCTGATGTACCAGCCCTCCTGTGATCTGGGCCCTTGTTTTCAATTCGCAGCACCGCGCCCCGCCTCCTCTCCCTCTCCCTGCTCCGCCCCTCCCGCGTTTCGTCGCCTCCTGCGGAGCTCCACCGAAGGCCCCAGCGGCGGGGTTCGCATGGTTACCCGCGCACTCCTCACCTGTCTCGTGCCCTCCATTGGAAGCTCCACCGAAGGCCCCAGTGACAGGGTTCGCATGGTTGCCCGCCCCATTTTGTCACACCGCTCACCTGTTTCGTGCCCGCCATTGGAAGCTCCACCGAAGGCCCCCTCTGCAGGATTCGCATGGTTATCCGCCCCATTTTGTCACACCGCTCACCTGTCTCGTGCCCGCCATAGGGAGTTCCACCGACAGCCCCAGTGGCAGGGTTCGCATGGTTACCCGCCCAATTTTGGCACACCTGTTGCACCTTGCGTGCCCCGGGTCGAGTTCGCATGGTTACCCGCAGATCATCCTCCTCCTCCTCCTCCTCCTCCTCCTCCTCCTCCTCCTCCTCCTCTCTCCGACTCCGACCTCGTGCAACGTGGCGCGTTCGTCGTCCTCTTACCTTCGGCGGGTTGACTCGTGAGAGTGCGCGCGTGAAGGGGGAACGGTGTGGCCTGACTTTCCCTGGCGAGGCGTTCAGGGACATAGCAGGCCCCACACTATTCATCGCATTTTCATGTATCGAGCGGTCATAGCCGCCCTGCTTTGTTGTGTTCAATGCGTTGGGCCCTAGCTCTTTCGACCTACTGCGTTCGTATGGATCTCGTGCGTCGTGCCGTGGGTTGCTTTTTGTTGGCCCCCGGCTCCGAAATGGGACTGAAGGCTCAAACTCAGAAAACTTTGTTGTCCTGATAGTGGCAGAAAGCTTCTGCGCGCCATTACTAGAAGTCCGCCCCCCTCGCCCTGCTCCCTCTTGCGCCCCGCTGATGCGCGCGCGTCCAGGGACCGTGTTCATGCAGCCAGGCATCTTTGGTCTGCTGAGGCTCACGAGAGGCCGCGGGAACGTCATGAACGTGTACCAGGCCCGCGCAGCCCTTGTCGCCCCCTGCCCGCTCCGTCTGCTTCGCCCGCTCCGCCCATCGCCCGCTGCGCCATTTGCTTTCGAGGAGTAAGGGGGGAGGGTGAAGGAGGGAGGATTAATGGTGGGAGAATGGTGAGAATCGTGAAGCGGTGGGAGGAGGAGGAGGAGGAGGAGGAGGAGGAGGAGGAGGAGCAGGAGGAGGAGGAGGAGGAGTTTGAGTTGGAGGAGCCAGGCTTACCCCTTGCAGACCGGGTACGCGATCCTGCCCGTCGGCACTCTCGTGCGACATGTGGCACGACCTTCCCAGACTGCCAGGCGCCTCGTATAAATGGTGGCGCTTTATATGCTAGTTTTGTTTTACCGCTGGGGGCCATCTCTTGGGCCCCAGGACCCGCAGATATCGCCCCGCGCCGTGAAACTGGTCCCAGAGATCGGGATTGGGAGTTCTGAGGGCCCATATCGCAAACAGATCGTTACATCGGAGGTTTGAAATAATCTTCCCCGCTTGGAGAGCTCGACTGGCACAGATGTCGTTTTCGTCGTGCAGACTTCTCGTGCTGCCATGGTGCATCTTCTCTGATGATATGGTCTCCCCTGCGTGCACGCCGTCAGACTATCAGCCAGCTCACCAAGCCTGGCAAGCCCCAGTTCCTGACGGAGAAGGCGATCCAGGACCAGGGCCGCCGCCCTGCAGGCAGGTATCTCGGTTCCTCGTTCCCCAGATGCTGTCGAGTGTGCGTGCGCGAGCACCTCGCGCCGCTGGGTGTGTCGCAGCGTGCAGCTGTGCCCCGCGCTGTGCGCGTGTGCATGTTTGTCGCGGGCCTCCTCTTCCTCCACAGCCCCAGGCGGGCCTCCGGCACGCTTGCCCACCGCCGTGGCCTCTGCTTTCCCCCGCTGCGTGCCCACCCTGTTCACCCCAACAGGGGGGGCCCGTCTACACCGTGACTGCACCTGTTTGGGGCCCGCCCTCGTGCCTTCGTCATGGCGTGCCTTGCGGCTCCGCAGGGTGGTCAGCGGCGCGCACGTGCCTCTCTGGCCTGCTGGTCGCATACCTCCCCGCCTCGGCGCCTGGGCTGGTCTTGCCGCCCGCGCGTCCCCTCGCCCCCTCTGCCCTTTGCAGGGGGGCTCCGCCATCCCCACCCCTGGGACACTGGCACTTCTCCGACTGTTCGCTACACGCGCCCCTGCCGGCTGGCCTGGTCAACATCCGCCCCCGCCGCCGCTGGCCCCTGGGCCCCAGCCCCGCTGCTGCTGCCGGCCGCCCCTCAGCGACGGTGACGGCCGCGCCACGCGCCCTTGGGAACGACCCGTTCCCCCGAGCGGCTCCGTCCCGTTTTTTTCCTGCTCTCGTTCGTCGTTTCGCTGTTTCTGGCAGAGTTCGCTTCGCGGCAGCCCCGTTTCGCTTCCTCGCCAGCGCGGTGACTCTCCCTAGCCGCAGACTCAAAAGTGTATGTGTGTCGCTTCTGGCACTCGCGCTGAAGCACTACATGTTCTGATCGCGGGCTCCCCTTTCCCTCGCGTCCCCTCCGCCTCCTGCCGCGCCTGCTTTGGTACCTCAGGTCGCCTCGGCGGCGCCCCTCCGTCGCGCGAGCGCTGCTTGAGCCAAGCGGCCGCAGACCCGAACAACATGTGTGCGCTTGTTTGTGTGACTTATTGCTGGCCGCGGCGCTGCTCGCTCGGAGCGGCTGGAGGGCTCGGCCTTACACGCGCTTTCGACGCCCTGCCGCTTCGCGCGGGGGCCGCGACGCCGAAAAAGTGTGTGTGTGTGTGTGTGTGTGTGTGTGTTTGTCTCACCCGTACTGCACCGCTCTTCTTCTCCCGCCCTGACGGCTGGGCCCCCTGCCCGACGCCTCGGCCTGACCAGGCGCTGCTTCCCGGCAGTGCCTCTCCTCCACAGCCATTGTGCCGACGCCGAGTGCACCCCCTGGGTGCCTTATCGTAGGATTGTCTTATCGTCGGAGTGCGGGGTACGAACAGTCTTTCGTTGTCCCTGGGGCTCGTGGCTGAAGGGAGTTTCCGCGGTGCGGATTGTTATTGTTGTTGTTGTTGTTGTTGTTGTTGTTGTTGTTGTTGTTGTTGTTGTTGTTGTTGTTGTTGTTGTTGATGTTGAACATTATTTCTTCTTAAGAATAATTATTGTTGGGACCCCTGGTGCGCGACCCCCCCGCCGCGCCTAGGCCGCAGCCACATTTTCATCATTTTCGTGAGGAAGTCTCAGGCAAAACGATTGGTACCGGATCCGGTTTTTTGTTGACGCTCGTTTTCCCTTGCAAAAAACAATAGAAAATGAAAATTCTTGTTCTTAGTTGATCAAATTGCAAGAATCCCTTGCAAAAAATAAGGTAAAGTGGACATTCGTGCGCGCAAGACGAAATCCTTCCAAAACCTTAGGTTTCGTAACGATTTTAACATAAAAACATCAAAAACCCAATGGTTTTTTAAGAAAAAATTGTCAAAATGTCCTTCCGCGCGCGCTGTCCGAATCCCACAAAACCAATGGTTTTTCAACATTTATGTTACATGAGCTCGCGCGAGCTACTTTTTCTTGTTCTAACATAATCAAATTTCAATAATCCCTTGCAAAAAATAAGGTAAAGTGGACATTCGCGCGCGCAAGACGAAATCCTTCCAGAACCTTAGGTTTCGTAACGATTTCAACATAAAAACATCAAAAAGCCAATGGTTTTTCAAAAAAAAATGTCCAAATTTCATCCCGCGCGCGCTGTCCGACTCCCACAAAACCAATGGTTTTTCAACATTTATGTTACATGAGCTCGCGCGAGCTACTTTTTCTTGTTCTTACATAATCAAATTTCAACATCCCTTGCAAAAAAAAAGTAAAGTGGACATTCGCGCGCGCAAGACCAACAAAAAACACGACGATCTCAGGAACTTGCCCCAAAAATGTGACCAACTCCGCTCTCTCTGTCTCTCTCTCTGTCTGCTCTCTGTCTCTCTCTCTGTCTGTCTGTGTCATGTATTGTATGTCACAATTGCAGGATGCTGGGCACACGCGCGCCCCGAATAAGTGACCAAGTTCTGTGGGTGTGTACCCCACGCCAGTGTAGTAGCCACGGTCGTCCGCACGCCACGAAGTGAAGTGTCCCAACGTCATAGGGCGGGAAGCTGGGTTTGGGTGGTCGCGAAGAGTCGTTTGGATATTTGGTAGAGCTTGAACTGCCCCCCCACGAAGTGGGGGTATTGTCTCGCGTCGCATGAAAACCCTGGCACTGGTGAGAACACTGAGCGTTCGGGTAAAATGATTGTTGTTGTTGTTGTTGTTGTTGTTGTTGTTGTTGTTGTTGTTGTTGTTGTTGTTGTTGTTGTTGTTGTTGTTGTTGTTGTTGTTGTTGTTGTTGTTGTTGAACTCTCATTCTTGAAGAATAATTATTGTTGATCCCCCCCCACCGGTGCACATTGATTTTTTTCGATTGAAGTGCCACCCCCGGGGCTCGCACTTGGTTTTTTCTCAAGGAAAGTCTTCCTGCTCAAACTGTGCCCCTGCCCCCCAGGCTACAACAACAACGGCTCCCGCCTGAGACTTCATCGGTTTTAACTCAGGACCCCCGCTCCCGCCTGAGACTTCCGCGCAATTTACTCAGGAAAGGCGCTCCCGTTTGAGACTTCCTCGCAATGTAATCAAGACCCCCGCTCCCGCCTGAGACTTCCGTGCAATTTACGTGGGAACGGCGCTCCCGCCTGAGACTTCTTCGAATTTTAGTCAGGACCCCCGCTCCTGCCTGACATTTCCGCGCAATTGACTCAGGAACGGCGCTCCCGCCTGAGACTTGCTCGCAATTTAGTGAGGACCCCCGCTCCCGCCTGAGACTTCCGTGCAATTTGCTCAGGAACGGCGCTCCCGCTTGAGACTTCCTCGCAACTTAGTCAGGGCCCCCGCTTCCGCTTGAGATTTCTTCACAATGTACTCAGGACTGCGCTCTCGCGTGCGACGTCCTCACAAATTATTTTGGAATTGCGTTTCGGCGCTCAGGAACCACGCACGCGCCAAGGACGCCTTCACAACGTGGTATCTTCCCTCTTCCTTCGTCCTTCCCCCTCCCCTTCCTCCCACTCTCCCTCGTTCTTCCCCTCCTCCTCTTGCAGGGCCCGCGCCAATTCCAATGGCGGGCAGAGAGATGTACGCCCCCGAAGGATTGTCCGCCCGTTCCGGTTTGCCCGTACGTCTAAGCCCGCCGGCCCCAGCAAAGAGAAATAATCCCCCCGAAAGGGGTGTGATCGAAGACGAAGAGGGCGGGTATCGAGGGTGTAGGGTATACGTGTTGAATGACTCGCGGGCAAGTAAGAGCGTACAGCCTTAAAATGGTTGTTGTTGTTGTTGTTGTTGTTGTTGTGGTTGAATTTTCATTTCTGAAGAATAATTATTGTTGATCCCCCCCACCGGTGCATATTTTTTTCTCAATCAAAGTGTGTCCCTCGACGCTCGCGCCCTGTTTTTTGTCAGGGAAAGTCTTCCTGCTCAAACCGGCCCCCTGGCCCCCGGGTTACAACAACAACGGCTCCCGCCTGAGCTTCCTTACAATTTAGGCAGGACCCCCGCTCCCGCCCGAGACTCCCTCGCATTTTATTCAGGAGTCGCGCTTTCGTTTGGGACTTCCTTACAATTTATTCAGGAATCGCTCTCCCAGAGCTCTGGAGTCGCGCTCTCGCTGGAGACTTGCTTGCAACTTACAGAAGAAAAATCTTGCGTTGGAATTTCCTGCAATTTGCTCAAGCGCCGCGTTCCCGACACCCAGGCACCCAGGAGTCGCGCCCGTTGTGTTCCCATGTGCGTGCCCTTCGTGGCCCCGCTGTCGCCATTTGTGTCCCCCTCACTGTCCTACGTGGCCCAGTTGCTACCCTCAGTGGCCCCATAGTTGCCTACTGTGGCCCCGCACTATCTGCACTTCGTGGCCCCCGCTCGTTCGCACTCTTCGTGGCCCCATACGCATTCCCTTCGTGTCCCCACTGTCGCCCTTCGTGGCCTACTTCGTGCCTTTCGTGGCCCTGCTGTCGTTTTCTCTCGCTTTCGCTTTTGCTCGTCGGCGCCGTCGTCGCCGTCGTCTTCGACGTCGTCGTCGTCGTCGTCGTCGTCGTCGTCGTCGTCGTCGTGGTCGGTCCCCTGTCCGTCCCTCTTGGGGTTGGGTCGACGGTCCGCGGCCGCCCCGCCGATCAGCGCTGCCGCTGGCCAGGCCGACGGTCCGCGGCCGCCCCGCCGCTTGCCGGGGCCCGGCCTGCAGGGAAGAAAGGTATACCCCCCAAAAGGGGTTCGATCGAAAACGAAGAGGGCGGGTATCGAGGGTTTGGGAAATACGCGTTATTGGACACTCGAGCATATAAGGGCGAACAGTCTTAAACTTATTGTTGTTTTTGTTTTTGAACATTATTAATTCTAAAGAATAATTATTGTTGGGCCCCCTGGTGCGCGCCCCCCCCGCCGCGCCTAGGCCGCAGCCACGTTTTCATCATTTTCGTGAGGAAGCCTCAGGTAATTCGATGTCATCCAGATCAGGTTGTTTTGTTGTAATCCGTTTTCCCTTGCAAAAAACACTATAAAATGACATTTCTTGTTCTAATATAATCAAATTTCAAGAATCCCTTGCAAAAAATAAGGTAAAGTGGACATTCGCGCGCGCAAGACGAAATCCTTCCAAAAGCTTAGTGTTCGGAGCGAT